GAGAACAGCTCTAGTGTTGCTCAGCTGCTGGAGGCTGCTTGTCCTCTTGCACAGCAGCAGAAGAGCTTGGAGACATTCCCTGAGGAGCAAGGAACAATTTTTTTGCATTGTGGCACAGACCCATCACCTCTTCATGGGTATGGTGAGAGAGCAGACACAGATTTGGCTTTAGGTGAAGAGTGGGAAAATCGGGATCCTGACAAAGAAGTGCACCTTGGTTCTTTTGAGATGCTCACAGGTACTCCTGCCCACCTCGATACCCAGAGCTCTGCTGCCCACTCTCCAGGGTGTTCCTGCCTCCTGCCCTGGTCCCTTTCTCCCCACACTGCCTCAAGCCCCTGGTCTCCAACAGCTCCTGCCCTCCTCCTCAGATCTCTCTGTATATACGTTTTTAATATTGGAGATACCTATATATATAATGCTTTTATTTCTCATCTATTTCCCCTTATGGGAGGAAAATCTTCCCAGTTCCCCAAAACCTGCCCCTTCCCCCAGGAAGCACCAGCTGTCAGGCTTCTCCTTGCAATCACAGCAGGCTTGTTTTTTTCTGACTCCATTAACAGCTCCTTGGTATTCCCCACAGCAATGGAACAGCCATATCAATAAGCACAGGTAGCTCTGTATTGTACAGCTCCTGGACCTCCCCCTGGGCTGCCTGCTTCAGACACAGCAGCCCTTGTTTGGGAGGAAATTCTGATTCATTCCCCATTAGCATTTTCATAGTATGGTGCATGGTCAAAGAGCCATGCAAGTGGCTAAAGAGGTTAACAGGAACCTTGGGTTAATTCCTAATATTGTTCATTACTCAGCACAATACTCACATTAATTCAGCTGGCTGCATCTCACCACGTTGGGCAACACATGCTGAAATCAGCAGGGAGCACAGAAAACAAGTGTGGGAGGTGGGTATTAAGTATTTTGCTGGCCCACAAAGGTAGAATCTGAGCACCTTAAATGCATTTATTTTCCTGTTGCCTTTGGGGACAGTGTGTGGAACTGAAGCATCCAGGAGGCTGTGCCCCACATCCCTGCAGGGCTGGGAGGGATGGGGCTGGGAGTCCCCTGAGGAGCATTTGAGTCATATCTGTCAAAACTCAGCCCCTACCTGCAGCCACCTCTTTCTCTTGGACCTATTCAGACTGTTCAAAGCACGAAGACCTGATTTTTTTTCTTTTCACCCCCCTTTGATACCTGCTGATTCAAGGGCAGTTCTGAACTGTGTCTGCCAGGGGAGTCCCCACAATATTTTTCTTTCTGCCTGGAGCAGCTCACATGGATCTGTTTGGGGCCACCTCCCTTCAAGGATGTTTTTGCCCCACACTTTGGGAGGGAGCTCGGCTGGATGTCCAAGCCCAACTGCAAGCCCAGAGAGACATTAGGAGATAGTGCTGAGCAGCCACTGCCCCTGCACTCCTGCTTGCTCTGTAGAAATTTCCCTATGCAAAGCAGAGTCCTGAACCCTGCTGCCTGCCTTCCCATCTGTTCCTTTCCTCCCACTCTGGATGCCCAGGTTTGTCTCCTTCCTTCTGTCTCTTTCATCCATCTCACTACTGCCTAAAGAGCCTCTCTAGCCCCTCAGTTCCAAAAACTGTTTAATTTGCAGACATTTAAGCCTTTAAAGAACACAATACCCTTTAGAGAGCCCCCAATACCTCTAGTTTTTCTGGCTGGTTTTACCCTAAACTGATACTGAGGCAGCACATTTTATGTACCTTGCTGAGGTGGACCAGAAATGGGCAAACACTCCCCTATCTCAAACTACAAGTTTTTGCATTGGAATATCAAGGAGTACAACTACTATAAAGTAACTGAACCTGTTGTGAGATAAGTTGTTAGTTGATGTATATTTCAGTTGTAAATCACTGCTGTAATTAGCAGGTACATTTCTTGGGCTGAGCAGAGTGCTCTAACAGGGAGCATTATTAATGGACTGTAAAAGGCAATGGGGAATCTGATTATAATCTTGTTGTTTTGCAAGCTCAGTGGTGGATAAATATATTTGTTCTGGCAGCAAAGCTAACTGGAATAAACACTTCTAGCTCCATCTACCAAGAAGAGGGGGGGTTGCTGTAAATCTCAGCCTTGGGTTGGAAAACCTGATTACCAGGTCATTATTTCTGGCAATTAGGTAGCAGAACAACATCAGAGAAATGGGAGATTTACTTTGAAATATTTAATGAGAAAGGTAGTAATCTAGACTCATTTGCTGCAAATATGTGATGGGATTTTTTTTTGTGGGTCCAGTTCACTGTGCAATGAAAAACTGCATTTCTCAAATCTACTACTAAAAGCCAGACTGCAAGCTTGAACTGGGGCACATATCAGGCTTTTCTTTTCCTAGAATCCCTGGTTTATTCCATGCCCAATCATTAATAACAGGACAGTCCTTTCCACCTTCAGTTTCAGGCAGTTGTAGCTTGCTTTGTAACAACAGCAAATGCAAAAGACTTCGACAGGAGGGGGAAAGTGTTGCCCTGTTTGTGTTGCACAACTAACCTGTGTAACACCTATATGTGTGTTCTCAAGCCCTGAAAATGCTGCTCTTTGAAGTTAGAAGAGGTGAATTTGAGAGATACTGAAGTTTTACATACCAGCATTAAGCCTGCCAACTCTGCTGAGACTTTATTCCACTTCTTAGAGAAGTTTTTCAGGAGATGGTTGGCATGTTGGTGATAGTTAATCTACTTGTTGGTAAAGTGAGGCTGAAAATAATTAAATACAGGCAAAAATGCTGAACCAGATCCCAAGCCCCAGGCTGTCCCAACCCCAAAAAGCTGGTAGGGTAAGTGAAATGTTTTAAAAGGGGGAAAACCATACTAGAATCCATTCAACTTCTCCCATTTTGCTTGTTGTTTTTATTTCTTGTTGTCTCCTTACAATCATTATGCTCAAATATAAAAATTCCTGGCCAAAGTTAGTTTTAAAAGTGATCCCATCTGCATTGATACATGCTAAAAATGTCTAAATTCAGTTTCAGAAAACAAACCAATAAGACTTCCTACTGGTTTCCTTAGCCTTACATACAGTAAAATCCTCCTTCCCAACTTGTGCAAACATACCTCAGTTTGACAGAAGACACACACACCTGAGTGTTGCCTTGCTTAGTTGTCATTAATTTTGAATTACCTTCCCATATGGACCCTTAACAATTGGTTCACACTAAGCTGCACCACTGTGATCCTTTTCAGCTGTACTGGGCATCCTCACAAATCACAGGAACACAGAAATAATAATAAACTGAAAGATGCCATGAGGTTAATATATTGGTGACAGAACTGGAAAGCTCCAGGCACCTTTATTTCCAGAGCTCTGGAACAGGTGCAGTGCAGATTGGCTATTCTTAAGGCACGTGGTGAAAAGACAGTTTTTCATCTTGGGGAATTCATCTCTCTGAGTCAAACATTCTGTGCCAGTAGTAGGTGAAGGTTGGTGAGTTGCTGGCCCCTATCACCACCAGCAGCAGCAGGTACAGCAGCATCATTATGGCAAAACGGTGGGTGTAAAACCAGGAAGACTGATTGGAAGGCCTGAAAAGGGAGAAGTGCATGAATCCTGTCAGAGATGCATAATACCTTGGCAAAGAGAACCTTAGGTTCGTTATTTTAAATGGTTAAGCTACTGCTAGGAAACCAAAGTTGTTCCACAACTCTTGTAACTGATTCCCCATGGCTTTTCCTGAAATCTCCATGCCCAATCCTGTCCCTTCTCCCCATGTTCACACCTTTCTCTGTGGTTTGGAACTGTCTGTATGTTCAGATTAACACTTGTTGATTAGCTGGGTGAATGCTACCACTCAGGAGAGATAAGGGCAGAGTTCAAACTGCCCAGTGTTAAGAACTGCACTCAGCAGAGTTTCACTCTTTGTTTCCTGACACAAACAGATTATTAGAGCTCTCAAAGATACTAAGTGCTTACAGGTCTGGTGAAAAAGGAAATTTAGCTGAGCTTGGGATTGTCAAAGAGTGAGAGGAAACATGGTGATGTAAGCCATATTTCCACAGCAAACAGGCTAAAACCAAATTCTGGCAGTGCAGTGGACCTTCCTTGCTTGTTTTCTGTGGCTGCTAAAAAGTGAGATGTGTTTATGTGGCTGTCATAGCATGTTCATCACTCCAGCCAGCCCAGCTCTTACCTCCTATGCTGTTTCTGTGAATATACTAGCAAGTATTTAACTCGTACAAGCTGATTGTTTGTGACCACGAAGTATTTCTGTGGCACATCACCCCCTTCACTGTTCTTCACTCTTGCTCTTTTCCTGTCTATTTCTTCGGAATCTGCATGGAAATAGAAAAGAGGAGGTCTTGGGGGATGGAAATAGAAAAGGAATAAAAAGATGCACAATTTTTAAGTGACTGTAAAAGAGCAAACCAAAGAACACCCTCCTCACACAACCACACCCACAAGGGTGGGAATGAGCTGACCAAAGATCTAGTGTTGGTATTCCCCTGCATCCCTCAGCATCCAATAATAGACTGAAAAGTTTGCTTGAGGCTATGCCACTCCTAGTCATCCTTGGTATGGGTGGCATTATGGCCCAGGGTGAGAAGGAGTTGGGTCTCCCACACAGTGCCTGAGAAGCTGCTAATGTTAACAGGGGAAGAAAAACAATGTCAAAGGATTGGGCCTTGCCAGCAGGAAACAGTCAAAGGAGGACAATCTGAGTAGAACATCTAATAAAACTCATTCTTGATACACTTGTGATACTTCTGTCCCACCATCACAGGTGAAAGGATCAGGCATGGTTTTACCATATTACTGAAACTAGGAAAAAAACAAGCAAAGCCACCAAAATATTTTCTATCCCTTAAATATACTGAGAGAGGCTTCCCAGACAATGAGGCTGTTGTGTATTTGTTGAGGGGTCAAAAGGAGCTGGCAGTCAATTTCTGCTGGGGAGCATCCACACTCTATCTACACTCTTTGAAATGTGAGAAATGAAAGTAAGAGATGAACTGCCCCTAGTTGTTATTGCAATAGACTCACCTTTCTTTTTCACCTGGCACTTCACATCAGGGTGGTCAATGATCTCACAAACAGCTACACAGCTCAGGATAGAGCCCAAGACACTTCGTTGCCAACCAAGGCCATGAGGGCTGTAGAGAAGAGCCAGGCTCAGGTCACTGGTAAGATAGGTACCTTCACCAAACAGGGATGTCTGAAACAGAGCAGAAAGATATCTTAAAACCCTGTAGCACACACTACAACCAGCACACAAGTGTTCTTTCCTTTCAGGCTGGCAGTCTTGCTTCAGAAGGTAAACTAAGGAAGGATTTTCTGACCCATGCTGGGCCTGCTCTGTGCACTATTTTTGCTCTGGCACAACTTCCTCAGGGTGGGGCAGCTGCCCTCTCCCATCCCTCCAATTAGCTGCTTGGCACAGCCCTTGGTGTGGACAGATTGATGCTTTCCTGGATTTGGATTTAGTTTGCCAGTGGAAGTGTTTTCTATCAACAAGACTGTAGGGCTGTTAGAGGCATTTCACTGCTCAACTGAGGCTGCTGTCATTCCAATAATCCAGCCTCCACAAACAAGGCAAGGTTTTAATCACATTTAAATCTATGCTTTACTAGGAAAGAGGGAAGTACCTGTAAACAGTGAATCCCTTTCAAACAGAACTGTTTTAGTAACATTGAATTGAAGGTTTTGCCACACTGGCTAAAATTATTAAGGCAGTAAGTCCACTATACCTGAAAAGCCATAATTTATTCATAAAGAATGTGGGGGGAAAACATAGTCCAGGCTGACTGGAAGGCTGAGCAGCTGCTTTGTCAAAGCTGCTTTACAGATGACACAAAATCCCAGAATTCCCAACTGCCCTCCAGTTGGAATCAGAAGAGGTGCAAACCTGCCAGGCCATGTCCCTAAACCAGGCCATTTAAAGAAGGTTCCATTTGCAAGTAGCACCTAAAACTTAGTTGAGCTGAACTTGAGGCCAGGCAGAGAATCTCCACGTTGCCTGAGTCAGTGTCCCCTCTTCTGTGCACAGGCACTTCCCAGCTGCAGGCTGTCAAGCCAGTATTTTCAGAGGCATTATACTTCCTCACAAAGAACCAAAGGATGGATGTAATTTGTCACACTGGAGAGGAGGGGTTTGTGCCACTTCCCATTTTTATCCTCAGGCTGCACTAGAAAAATCCAACACAACCATCCACAAAGGTCCACGCTGAAGTGAAAACAGCAGTAAAAAGACCATCAGCACATTTCATACCCCCTAAAGGGCCTATTTTTAACAAGTGTCACTGGCTGCAAGTGACCAAGGGAAGATGGTGTCAGTACCAGGAGCCTCACCCTGTTCAGGTGGCAGTGCAGGCCGTTGTGCAGTATGGAATGGAAGTTCTCCAGGCGGCTCCCGTGGAAGGCGTAGATGAGGTCCCGCTCCCCCTGGGTCTCAGCAAACTTGGTGTTCATTTGGTCACTATACACAACCTCAAAGAGGTAGTCTGGGGCAGGAACTGCAACCCCAGACATCCCTGTGAGCTCTTGGATCTTCTCATACTTAAAAACAGGAAGGAATACAAGTGTTGGTTTATGGGGTTAGATTACTCACTGGTGATTTTTCTTACCTTATTTCTCTTAGCTTTTCCTACTGCTTTATGTGTTTTGATGAGAATTCAATACTGTCATAATTCAGAAGTAATAGGACAGTAAAAATTCTGACAGTTTCTTGCTATCAAAGCTAAATCTTAGGTTGCCCAGGGAGGTGTTCAAGGCCAGGCTGGATGAGGCTTGTGCAGCCTGGTCTAGTGGGAAGTGTCCCTGCTCACAGCAGGGAGGTTGGAACCTGATGATCTTTAAGATCCTTTCAAACCTTAACCATTCTATGATTCTAATTCTTCTTTCCAGAAAAAAAAGAATCCTGAATTGTGATTATGAATTAATTGATGATGTGAGGTCAGTATCACTATTCTACTTTAGCTACTAAGGCAACATATTCATGAGCTGATCTTGGAGGCAGGGAAAAAAAATGAAGACAGAACTTGTTTTCATCTTGCTACCAATCTCTACAACTATTTGATCCCTGTTACACCAGCCTCTCAGTGGCTCTCAATCTTTCCACTTTTGGGGCAGTACTGCAGAAGCACAAAGTTGTGTTTCTCAGTGAGAAGCAGGTCCCAGCTCTGTGACACCTGAGCTGGCCTATCTTGGTCCAGAACATGCAGGTACAAGCTACTTAATGGGAGTAACCAGCTAAAATTACTGCCCATTATCAACTACTGACAGTGATAACTTTATTTAAAACAGTGTTTCTGAACATTTTAAAAAGAAACCTCTCTCTATATGCAGAAAAAAATGTACTTATGTTGAACTTCCAAGCTCTGACAATAACCAACCAACTTCTGGCAGGAGGAAATACTCTCTGAAGTGCAAGGTTGCCTCAAAAGACATCTTTTAATCAAGGCACTCAGAATTCAGAACTTACCTCCTGCTTTTTAGTACTTTGTATCGTTAAGACCTTGGATGATAAAATCCAACCAAACAAATCCCAGGTCCTTTTCTCCGTGTTGGGATCAGACTGCAGAAGTTCCCTCAGGCTTGGCAGGGCGCTGGTATCTGCAAGCTGAGCAGAGAGGCAGTTGGCACAAGCTCCTTCTCTCCATCATGACTGAACAGAGACCTCTAGTGAAAACAGAACAGCATTTCACCCTGATAGGTGGTGAACTGAAAAGCAGCTTCTGTTCTGAGATACAAATAATTTGCCTCCAGTTCTGTCAGAGAGATTTGTCATTCGTCCTGAAAACAAACACCGGCTATGAAATACATGGACCTGTGAAGCACCTGCAAGGAAACCGAGCTCCTGCAGGACGAGAAACCGCCGCGGTGCAGCGGGATAAACGCAGGCCAAGACACAAACCCCTCCAAACAAACCTCGTCACAACGCCCCGCAGGAGGTGGAAGTTTCCAGCTGCGGCTTCCGCGCTGTCCCCCGGGGAACAGCC